TGGACCCTGCGTTGCGGCCGCACGGCTTATCGGCCGACGCCATTGGATCCGGAAACACAGGCGCAAGATATTGGTTCCTGGACGCTGGGCCTGCCTGCCCAGTCACGGAAGGCATCAGAGGGATCTATCATGCCATGCAGGTAAACGTGGCATCCCAACAAAATCTGGCGGCTGCCACATGGGTACGCAATGACGTCCGGCGCGCTAATGCACGAGCAGCGGCCGGGAGGCTGGCAAGCGGAAGCGTCTGGGATGATTCAGGCGCGTTTTCATCCGTCGCGGCGCCGCACCCAGCGCACTTCGTCGCGGAATCTTCGCTGGGGAGGCATCGGGGGCGCAGGCCAAACGCACAAACGCCGACGATATCATATATTGAGTCTACTCAATGCGACGCATGCCTGCAGCCCTTCCAGCTGGGGCGGACCCTTTGGCGCCTTCGGTGTGGACATCAGTATGATGGCGTATGCTGGGATGGAGCTAACAGGGCCCATGTAGGAAACCCGCTGCGGGGTGCTGCCATAGAGGCTCCCTGCGCAGTATGCCGCGGCCCTGGCATCATTGCGTCGCCGTGCGCATATGCTGGGCATCGTGGCGACGAAACACAGCCAACTTCTGCGGCTAAGTTCATTTCGTTGCAGACCCAAGATTCAGCACTGCAGCGCCAGCTGCAAGAGGCTAACCAGCACACTCCAGCCACAAGCAGAGACGCCAGTCGACGACAGAGCGCCGCGCGAGCAGCCTACGACCACGACAAACAACAATGCGGAAACGCCTGCACCACGGCCGCGCGACCCCGCCAACGGCCGGCTGTTGGGGAGGCTCGATAAGCAGCATTAGGCCGCTACCAGTAGCACAGGGCGGCGCGGGCCTCCACCGCCGATCTCGGGACAGCCCCGTCGAGTGAAGTCTCTGCGCAACTCCCGCAGTCAGGTCAGCTCCAATCAGGAGACGGCCTCGATGGTGCAGGGCGGAGACGCTACACGGGGGGCACCATTTGCCCTGGTCGCTTGCGGACCTTCACTCATCGCAGGCGTGGGTCACGATCGCCACGCGCGCCAGGTACGCTCCATTATCCAGGTGACCTTGACGCTCGAGCCTGTGACCGGCGACAAGTATTTAGGATGGATGGCTGACTGGGAGCATGACGAAGGCCAAGTCTCCACGGAAGAGCCGGTGGTCGAACGACGGCGGAGGCGCCGCGTGGGCGCAGCAGACATCCGCGTCAACGTGCCCTATGGACATCAGGTCTACATCAAGAACCCGCTCGAGACAATGCTGTCCGATGGTCCATTGTCTATCTTGACAGACATCGGTTCGAACATCAACATCGTCGGAGAGAATGCGGCCGAGCACTTTGAGGAGAACGCCAGGCGGCACGGCTTCCAAACAGTGCGCCGTAGCTTGCCGGATACGTTGCATGTCAATGGAATTGGTGCAGTTTCGGTCATCTGCAGGGGTCTGGCAAGATTTCCCATTCCCTGTGACTACCTCCAAAAGAGGCAGATGGACACCTTCGCCGCCAATGACGCCGAGCGCCTTGGTGCTCACATACCAGCTCTCTTAGGTTTTGCCAGTCCCCAGCGGAAACGCGAACTCTTAGTGCTCGAGAGCGGGAAAGAGACGATCATATTTCCGAGCGAAGTCCAGACGCAAGTTGGCAAGGGCGCCAAATCCCTCGCTTGGGGAAAAGCGTCAGCGGCCACCCAGCCATCCCATTGTTTTCGGAAGACGCTTGTTTCAATATTTCTATCATGGCAGCCGGCCGCGCGAGTGGCAACTGCACCGCGACTGCTGCGGCCTGCTACTGCGTTGAAGCGGAGACGCTGTCGGAATGCATGCCGAGCTTCTTTTCCGCCGATGGCCAACTTTCTCGGGGCCGGGATGGAACGCCCCAATGGGAATGCCGATGCGTAGTCTGGCTCCAGGCCGGCACCCTCGAGGGAGTGGTTGCGCTGCCCTCGGGGCCCTGAAGGGCGCCGCATAACGGTAGACGCGGGCACGTGGGCGCCAGTCTTAGCTCGCTATTTTGAAAAGCGCGGAGGGGAGCTGGTGGACGCTGAGGAACGCCTGGCATTGGTGGGCCAAGAAACAAAGACGAGGATCAACAGTTTCACGAGGCCCGGCGACCCCTGACTCAGCGCGACATGGTCCAGAGGCCTAATGCGCATTCACAGGTGATGGACCAGGTGATCGGTTTCGTGAAGCGCCACCTGGGCGGCTACCATGCCCATCGCGCGGTCGACCTCCCATGCGCGGCGGACCGTGACCGCTTGGAGGTGGTCGGCCTGAGGATAGACTTGCTTGTTGCGCAGGTCGACAGGGCGGTTGCAGACTGGGTGCCAGTTCCACACCGCGCCATGGGCGCACATGATTCGATTAGCAGAAGCCGGAGTGCAGCGGCGGAAAGCATCGGCTGGGACCCCAACAGCAGATTCAGCATCATGGGTTTGGGTGACGTCGTTCCGATGCTTGGGCGGAACCGCTACGTCGTCAGTCTTTCCCGCGCACGGCGGAAACGCTAGCCTCTCTGCCCCGTGAAGGGTGTGGGCTGAGGATGTCGGGCTGGCATATTGCCAGGCAAGTGTACCTGGGCCTGCTTGCTGTTTTACTCTAAAAGATATTCGCACTGCGTCCGCGCAACTCCGCCAGCGTGGATACTCATGCGATAGAGTTGAACGCGCGCCGAAGTTACGTCTGCCAGCGGCTCCACGCATTTGGGGGCGGCGTCGGATGGTGAACACCATCTGCCGTTGATCTCCATGCCGGTGGAAGGTGCATGCATGCGCCGGGGACAAGAAGAAGTGCATATTGGGATTGGATACACAATCTTGCTACGAACGCGAAAGGGTTGATGATGCATCGTGTCGCGATAGGTCCTCCAGGCTACATGTGGAAACCGCAGCCTATATCAGATATGATTTAGGACATGCGTCTGACAATGAAACGCATGCGTTTATGTCACTATGGACTCAAGTGCGAACGACATGGATACGACACCTAGTGGTACATACATACATTTTGTGATTGCGTAAAGTCGCATCCCTACAACGATGTGGAGATGAAAGTACGTGGGTCCTACTCGACGCGTGCTCGACTGGTACGGTCATGACCGAGAGTGCGACGAATGGCGGCAGCGAGCCCTCGTGACATGTACTAGACGCCCACTGGAAACATTAGCCAATCAACCCCGCGAGAAAACAGCGTACATTCGATATGACATGCATGCTCGCATTGACCCACATGTGGCTCGTGAGGCTGGGCGACAAGGGCCCAAACGATTGGGGCCCAGTCGCAGGAAGAGTCACGTATGACCTTGACAAGAACATGGCACAATACATTAAGGTCAAGGATGTGCCTAAAGGCGACCGTTGGTGCTCACAACTTCCGAAAAAAAAGGGATACAGCAGATTCGCGTTGCATTCTTCTGGGGGGCCCCAGGGCCAGCACTATTCGGGGAAACCGCGCGGACACGCCCAAAGCCCGAGTAAACACGAATCATCCAGGATGATTGTTCCCCTCCCTGATCTTCCGGCCGCCGCATGAGTTTCTATCGGCTTCCGAAACGGCTTGCCCGACTGACGCACGCATTAAACAACGAGGAACGCAGAAAATAGGCACAGCGGCAGGTGTCAAACCAAAACATATACCAACAACAAGTTGCGGAAAGAGACGATGACGGCGGCGAACGTCTAAAAGATCTGAGCTGCAATGCACATTGCAGTGCCGACGGTCCGTATGACTCGGACTCGGACTCAGACCTGGAGCAAGCTCTCCTCGCGCCACCAGCGGACGCGCACGCCGACGTCTCCAACGTTATTCCGACGCCGCGCGATGGGCAATGCAACGGTGTCGATATGCTTGAGTTCTGCGGTGGTATCGGAGGCATTTCACAACTTGCCATCAAGCGCCGCCCTTCGTCAGGAGGTGATTAATCTTGCTGAGAGAACTGGTGTTGATCTGGCAAGCCGGAAGGCGCGACAGGCTAACATACCCTACTTACGTGTACGCACGGTAGGACTGGCCTTCTCTCGACTGGTTTGCCGCGCCACCTGGCTACCATCACACTGCCACGCCATGATCAATTACAACGCAAGGCGGGAACACCATCATGAATGTTTACCACATATAACCTTTTGCGGCACCGTTGCCAACATTCAGGACGATTTGCACACATTTTGGATACGTGAGCAACCCACTGGTATTTGGACTGACGAGATATCTGTCTGGCACACACTGCAGGTACGCACGAACAAACACAATATTTCAATAGACCAATGCGCCACCAGGCTAAGGGACTCACATGGCACGGAAGCCTACACGAAACTACATTTATGTTGGGCCGTTGTTTGCTTGTTTAGTTGTGTCCCTGGGTCCCCCAGATGGGGTCAGAGCGGGCGCGTCGCAGGATCGCGCCGCACCGCCGCTGCATTGGCGATATGGCTGGATGTGGAACCTGATTGTTCCACGTCGACGCGGCCGATGCATCGCCTCATTGCCGATGCATCGGCGACGCATTTGCGATTTTCCGACCCCCGTGTATTTTGACCCCATATGGGAAGGCCTAAATGTCTCCGCGCCCTCATCTTTGCCGCTGCATCGCGCTTCCCCCCGAAAAAAACACGGTCTTCTCCGTGACGCACGCATTGGTTGTGTCAGGGTTCGGGCAAACACCAACCCCGTCCCAGTTCAGGTTTCGGCTCTTGGCCCCCGTTTCCGCGGGGCGCATTCCTCGGGTCATGACTTGCGAGTACAGTGCCGTTTTGAATACATGCTCCGCGTGCGGATCAGGTATTAAAAATGCAGGGATTTAGTACTAAAAACAACGATGAGTTCATGCACAACTTATGCATAAATTCGTCATGTATTAATGATCCCATCTGTTAAAAATCCTATGTATTAAAAACTTCCCTGTGCTCCCTCTTGGGCGACCCCCTCTTGGACGCACCCGAGGTCACACCATCCTTTCCCCGTGCGAGCCGCAGAGACACAGGGGAGGGCAGGAACCAGAGGCGCGAGCAGCCGGAGCAAGGCTGCGCGCGGGGGGTCTGCACGACAACGCCTGACATTTGGGGCGGAGAGGGGTGGATGGGTTGGACTGGCATGCAGTTGCAGTTGGGAGTTTGCAAGCCCTGCGCACGCGAGAGCTTCCCACAATTTTCCGTGACGACGTCATCGAAGAAGCGCAGAATTCCATTAGTCGGGGAGGACAGACCTCCTACCCTGACACGTCGATTAAGGAATTGACTGTTTTCGGTTCGCGAGAGAGCGTCGCGGCCGTCACTTTTGCGGGTCCAGGTCCGCCGATTTCGGTCTCAGGCCGTTTTCACTAAGGGGAGGTCTAAAGGGAGGTTTGTCCACCGCCGAATAAGCGTACAGTGCTGTAGCAACGAACGCAGAGTCTCCTCGGAGGTGCAGACACAGAAGCGTCACGACGATTTCGGTGCTTTTTCTACCTCCGTAGTTTTCGGCCCGAGTCGCGAGAGAGCTTGAGCGCCAGTTGGGCTTCTCGAGAGCCCACGGGCCGGCGCTAACACTTACCATCGCCGGTTGAAAAACATCGTGCGCCCATCACCCACAGGGGAGATTTGCTCTAGGGAGGTTTGTCCACCGCCGATCGGGGGGTTGCTCGAGGTGCCCCTGGCCCAAGGTGCCTCCACCTGTTGGTTCAATCCTGGAGCCCCTGGGGCCCTCTGGGCCTCGTGATGGGGTGCTCTGGAGGCCGTGGGGGCCTCCTGGGACATCCCAGGCGCACCTTCGGCCAGGGGCACTTCTCTAAAGGGAGGTCTGTCCACCGCCGGATGAGCGCATGAACCTCCGGAGGCCCCCGCGGAGTGGTTTGTGGATCGGCGCGCGGCCCCCTCTGGCGATGCTTCAGCGCCGCCCCTGGCGCGCCCCGCGCGCCAGGTAGGGGGTCAAACGCCGACCCAAGAAATCGGCGTGGAGCTTCGAATGGTGATGCCGTCGTCGTCGTCGTCGTTGTTGTTGATGTCGTCGTCGTCGTTGTTGTTGTTGCTGCTGTTGTTGATGTCGTTGTTGTTGTTGTCGTTGTCGTTGTCGTTGTCGTTGTCGTTGACGTTGTTGTTGCTGTTGTTGTTGGTGTTGTTGTTATTGTTGTTATTGTTGTTGTCGTTGTCGTTGTTGTCGTTGGTTTTTCCTTTGGATGGTTCGAGTAGAAAGAAGCCCGGAGTCCGCAGAAATACCGGCCACCAAGACCCGCGCGTTTGAGGGCATCCAAAAAGTTGTACATGATGGTTTCCGCTATGATTTGAATTCCCAGTCGCGGCCAGCTGTAATATCGCGACCTGGACGAATATGATCCGATAGTGATGTACATCTCATGTTTTGGAAGGGTGAAGCTTTGACCGCACATCAGGGTCCTCCCGCACCACCCGCTGTTCGTATCGTACCTGTCTTACTCGTCAGAATTCCCGGATCATCTTGTCTGCACGGGCCCCACATAAGTTTTCCTGGAAAGCAGTAGGTGTTTTGCCAAATCTGGAGTTGGTCGGGCGGCGTTGTCTCCCATGGGATTCCATTGTGCCCCATTGTGTCTCATTTCTTCTCACTGACTGTCGCCGATTCTGTTCCGTTGTCTCCCGCTGCCTATCTCCCGGTGTCTCCCGGTGGCTCCTGGTGGCTCCCGGCATCTCCTATTGTCTATTTTATCTTTGGCCGCATGTTTGTCTTTATCCGTCTGCCTCGATCCCTGTGTATTCTGTCCCTATCTTGCATGCCAATATCCCTGACCCTATATCCCTATAACCCTGTCTCCCTATCTACCCTGATCCCCCCATCGTGCCTCCCAGTTGTCAGCCCCCATCGTGGCCCCCATCGCATCTCTGTCATGGTGTTCCGGGGTCCTGCCGCAAGGGTGTCGTGCTCGTAGTTGTTATCTGATCTGTTTTGCGTGCTTAAATTTCTGGCGGATCCCGTGGACCTTCGTGCCCGCTGCTTGATTGATTGATTAATGAATTGCTCGTTTGATTGTTTTTGGATTGACGGCGAATGTCAGCCTGCACCTTGGGCGGCACGTTTCGGGCCGTCCAGCAAACCAGAGCCGCACCCGCAGGGGTGTCACAGTTTAAGCCAACCGCAACCCGCACTTGGGGTGGCCCTGGGGTGGCCCGCTTTTCCTGAATTCCCCGTCGCAACCCAATTGGCCCCCCCTTGGCTCCGTGATCCGCTTTGGGGCTCTTTCGGCCTGAAGAGGGTTCCGAGCTGGTTCAGGAGGGCGCCCGCTGGCCGCCAAGATGGCCCCTTCGTGGTCCAGGACGCTCCAAGATGTTTCAAGGCGGCCCCCAGGGGCCACAAGATGCCCCAGGGCGGGGGAGTGGGAGGGGAGGAGGGGGGAGAGAGAGAGAGAGAGAGAGAAAGAGAGAGAGGTACATAATGCTGGATGGGGCAGCCGAGAAGGGGAGGGCGATTGAGGGCAGGGGAGGGGAGAAGCCCAGACATCCACCGCTCGATTTTGTGTCGATGCGTGGGCCCCCGGAGGTTAAGATGTCTTCCATATTGGCCCTTTTTGACGGCCGCCTGGCCCGTTGGTTCCCCAGGAGGCCGAAAATTGCCAGGTGTTAGGAACGCAGATCTCAAGGGGGGGAGGGGAGGGGAACAAGGACGCTTCGAGTTCCCCCAGAATGGACCAGAGTAGATGGGGTCGGAGGATCGCGCCGCATCGGCGATACATAGGCAATGCGTCTCGATGTGGCACCAAGTTTTCTCCACGCCGACGTCGTCGATCATCGCAGACGTCGCCGGTGCATCGTTCATTCATCGACGACACGGCGCGATCTCCCGACCCTGGATTTTGTTTCCATTCTGACCCCATCAGAGCAATGCCGAAAAATGGGATCGCCTGCGCCGACATTTGTGCAGAAGTTCTTCGCGTAAGGTCACGCGTAAGCGCCGTCATTCCCAATCCGGCGTGCCACGATGGCGGCCCGCGTAAGCCATTGCGTATGGTCGCTATGCCATCTCGCGCCACACCCGTTTTCTTTGCTGCCGCTCCTCTGAAACGGCCCCGAATGGCGGTTTCCGCCGCCACCACCATGAGTAGGAGGGGGGAGCGGGCCTCCCTCCTCGTCTTCCTCCTCATCCTCCTCCTCCTCCACCTCCCCCCTCCTCCAACTTATGGTGGTGGTGGTGGAAAACTGGCCCAGGAGGAGGAGGAGGAGGAGGAGGAGGAGGAGGAGGAGGAGGAGGAGGAGGAGGCCACCACTTTGGAGTGCCCGCGCAGCCCGCGAGGCCACCCGCAGCGGCCCCGCCACGGCGCGGCCAGGGGCGGCCCCCAGGAGCTCCGCCCCCCGCGCGCGCCCGCGCGCCGACGGGTGGGGTGGGCGCCACGGCGCGGCCGCACCGATCTCCAACGGTCAAGTCGGGCATGTCTCTCTACAGTATGTCCTCCTCCTCCTCCTCCTCCTTCTCCTCCTCCTCCTCCTCCTCCTCCTCCTACGGCTTTCCTCCTCCTCCTCCTCTTCCGCGCACGCTCCCGCCCGCGCTCTCCTCCGCGCACGCTCCCGCGCGCGCGCATGTTCCAACCTACTTCAGCCTTGATCGCTGGAAAAAAAAATCGGGCACCAGAGAAGGACCGAAGTTCGATGGTTTTCACGTGTCGTGCCCTGGGAGGCACTCGTCCGACACTGTTTCGACACTCTCTCGACACTTTCTCGGATGCTCGGCATTATTTCTGGGGTGTGGTCTTACGCACGATGGGAACAACATAATTCGGGGACGTTTTTTGACTACGTGTGGCTATTGTTGGTCATGTTTGCACTGCTTGTCCCAACCCTTCCTTGGTTGGGTTTCCGTTTTGAATGGAGCACTGTGGTGTCCACGTCTTTCTCCTCCTCCTTCTCCTCCTCGTTCCCCTCCTCCTTCCACTCTCCGTTCTCCTCCTCATCGTGTTCTTCTTCCTCCTCCTCCTCCCTGCCTCGTGACCTCGCCGTCTCCTCGAGGGCTGCGATTTGCGAAACTGTCGCCACCTTCGTGGGCTCTTGGGAGGGCCAGCGGTGGTACGTCCTCCGCAGATCACCACGAGACCTCGCAGTCCCCTGGGGGCTGCAATCTGCGAAACTGTAGCCGTTTTGGTGGGCCCCTGGGAAGCCCAGCGGGGGAACGTCCCACGCAGATCACCACGAGCCCTCGTCGCCCCCGTGGGGGCTGTGATCTGCGAGGCTGTCGCCACTGACGTGGGCTCCTGGGAGGGCCAGCGGTGGTACGTCCTCCGCAGATCACCTGAAGACCTCGCAGTCCCCTGGGGGCTGCAATCTGCGAAACTGTAGCCATTTTGGTGGGCTCCAGGGAGGCCCAGCGGGGGTACACCCCACGCAGATCACCACGAGACCTCGCCGTCCCCTGGGGGGCTGCGATCTGTGAAACCGTCGCCACTAAAGGGGGCTCCTGGGAGGACCAGCGGAGGTACGTCCTACGCAGTTCACCACGAGACCTCGCAGTCCCCTTGGGGAACTGACGTGGGCTCTTGGGAGGGCAAGCTGAGGTACGTCCTACGCAGGTGACCGCGAGACCTCGGCGTCCCCTGGGGGTCTGCGATCTGCGAAGCTGTCGCCACTTTCTTGGGCCCCTGGGAGGCCCAGCGGAGGTACGTCCCACACAGATGTCGCCCCCTCGGGGGCTGCGATCTGCGAAGCTGTCGCCACTTACGTGGGCATCCCGGGAGGCCCAGCGGAGGTACGTCCCACGCATATAACTACGGGACCTCGTCGCGCCCTGGGGGGCTGCGATCTGCGAAGCTGTCGCCACTTTCGTGGGCTTCTGGGAGGGCCAGCGGAGGTACGTCCTACGCAGATGCCCACGCAACCTCGCCGTCCCCTGGGGGGCTGCGATCGGTGAAACTTTCGCCACTTTCGTGGGCTCCTGGGAGGCCCAGCGGAGGTACGTCCCACGCAGATCACCACGAGCCCTCGTCGCCCCCGTGGGGGCTGTGATCTGCGAGGCTGTCGCCACTGACGTGGGCTCCTGGGAGGGCCAGCGGAGGTACGTCCTCCGCAGATCACCACGAGACCTCGCAGTCCCCTGGGGGGGCTGGGATATGCGAAACTTTCGCCACTTTCGTGGGCTCCTGGGAGGCGCAGCGAGGGTACGTCCCACGCAGATCACCACGAGACCTCGTCGCCCCCCCTGTGTGTGTGTGTGTGTGATGGGCTTCTGGGAGGGCCAGCGGAGTGACGCCGCGTGTGCGTACGCCGCGTGTGCGTGCGCCGCGCAGCGAATAGCGCATGGCGCTGTCCGTCAGGGAGGGATGGGCTCAGGGGCAGCGTTCGGGGGAGAGAGGCGCAGGGTGTGTGTGTGTGTGTGGTGTGTGGGGGGGGAAGACTTCGTGATCGTTGCCTGAGATGTTCCCTTGGTTTCCCTTGGTTTAGTCGGTTCTCGGCGGATTTTCAGCTTCGGCATGACCTCTAGGAGCTGAGACTCGTAGAAGGCGTTCTGGGGGTGCCCGGATCGTCCCGAACGGCCGCCGACTCGAGTTATGACAACAAGAATTGTTCTGGGTTTCTTGATCAGCGTGGGGGTGGTGCCCCCCCGACGGGGGTCAACCTCGCCCCGTCGTCGCGCCGCGACGGGGGTCGGAGCGCCTTCGGCGCGCGGTGGCTGCCCGCGAATGGGGTCGATGTGGGGCTGTCGGCGAGGGTGACGCCCCCCCGACGCTTGTGAAGAGATTCGGGGCACTCCTCTTTGGTGGCGGGTGGGCTCCAGGGAGACGCATTGGCCCCGAGTGGCCCGTCGATCTCAGAGAATGGGCTCGATCGCCCACCCCGGCGCCGATTCCGGGTCGATGTGTCTCCCGCGAAGTCTGTCTCCGCCGACCGTTCCTCTTCAGGGGAGCAGGGGGCGGAGTCGACCTCTTCAGCGGTGCTCTGGTTCGGTGTCCGCTTCGCACGCCGCTCTCGGAAGATTCCAATTCCGGCAGCCATCGCTGCGCGGTAGCCGACCCCGGACCAAACCTCTGGGCCAAATTGAGGAGTCGCCGCGGCGATCGCGGCGACCCAAAATCGAGGCACAGCTTTTGTCAAGGAGTGACATGCCCCTTCCCAGCCCCCCCCGCTCTGCGCTGTCGACGTGGCCCATGATGAACAGTATAGGGACGGAGAGAGCTGTCAGCGTATGTCCAACGTGGGCAGTCCTGCTTGTTTCTGTTAATTGGTAAGTCGGGCGTGTCCCCCTAGAGGGGGATGCTTGAGCGAAACATGACACACACTCCAACATACCCCCCAACTGGGCCAACATAGTCCAAACAAGTCGTCCCCCGACTATTATGTTGGCTATTTCTGCAGATCCCCCCAAATGGGCCAACACAGTCCAAACAAACCGCCCCCCAACTATTCTGTGGGCTATTTCTGGCCATCCCCCCTGCAGAGAGCCACGCCCGAGGTACTGCTCCTCGGGGTCGCTCACCACTATTTCTGAATATCCCTCCTGCAGAGAGCCACGCCCGAGGTACTGCTCCTCGGGGTCGCTCACTACTATTTCTGCATATCCCTCCCGTAGAGAGCCACGCCCGAGGTATTTGCTCCTTGGGGTCGCTCCTCACGCAGCCACGACCTCTTCCGCGGGCGGCGCCTGCAGAGAGCCACGCCCGATGTATTTGCTCCCCGGGGGGCGCTTCTCACGCAGCCACGACCTCTTCCGCGGGCGGCGCCTCGCTCCTCGGCCCTCGGGGGGCCGCCCACCTCCTCCTCCTCCTCTTCCTCCCCCCCCCCTCCTCCTCTTCCTCTCCTCCTCCTCCTCCTCCTCCTCCTCCTCCTCCTCCTCCTCCTCCTCCCTCCTCCTCCTCCTCCTCCTCCTCCTCCTCCTCCTCCTCCTCCTCTTTGGCTGGCGACGTCTCGCTCTTCGGCCCTCGGGGGGCCGCCCTCGCACCCCAACGGAGCCGCCTCCGGCCCCGCGTCCTGGGCGTCTTGCGGTGCCCTCGCACAGCCGGCAGCCCCGCGCGGCTCTCTGCGCCCCGCGGCCCTCCCGCACCGGTCCGGCAACGAGCAGCTGCTCGGGATTCTATGGCCGGACAGCTGTTCCTCCTTCCTCCTCCTCCTCCACAACTACTCAATATGAATACACTCCTCCTTCCCCTGATGGCGTGCGGAAGATGTCGGGCACCCTTCCGCGTACTGTTTTTTTACACACAGGATTTCCCGGAGTTGGGTTTTTCGCTTGGGTTTGTTTCCCAAAGTGTTGCTCTCGCTGATGCGCCCGCCTCATTTTCGGGCTTCCGCTCGTTCCGAATCGTGCTCCCGCTGCAGCGTGGGCCTCATTTTCGGATCGGTGTTTTGCCTCCGTCGTTCAGGATGGCGTTCTCGCCCCAGCGCGGGCCTCTTTCTCGCGCGCCCATCCGCCCGCCACCACCGCACCGCGCCCCGTCCCGCCCACCGCCGCTTCCACCCACCAACGCACGCACGCACGCACGCACGCGCACCACCACCGCGCACCGCCACCACCGCCCCACTACCCCACCCACCACTACCACGCTACACCGCGTCACACCACATCACACGCTCGCGCACACAGACACAGACGCACGCACGCACGCACGCACGCACGCACGCGCGCGCGCGCACGCACGCACGCACGCACGCACGCACGCACGCACGCACGCACGCACGCACGCACACGCACGCACGCACGCACGCACGCACGCACAGCACGCACGCACGCACGCACGCACGCACGCACGCACGCACGCACGCACGCACGCACGCACGCACGCACGCACGCACGCACCACGCACGCACGCACGCACGCGACGACGCACGCACGCACTCACGCACGGCCACGCACGCAGCACGCAGCAACGCCGCACGCACGCCAGCAACGCACGCCGCACGCACGCCGCAACCACACGCACACGCACACGCACACGCACACGCACACGCACACGCACACGCACACGCACACGCACACGCACACGCACACGCACACGCACACGCACACGCACACGCACACGCACACGCACACGCTCACGCGCACGCTCACGCGCACGCGCACGCGCACGCTCACGCGCACGCGCACGCGCACGCGCACGCGCACGCGCACGCGCACGCGCACGCGCACGCGCACGCGCACGCGCACGCGCACGCGCACGCGCACGCGCACGCGCACGCGCACGCGCACGCGCACGCGCACGCGAACGCGCACGCGCACGCGCACGCGCACGCGCACGCGAACGCGCACGCGCACGCGCACGCGCATGCGCACGCGCACGCGCACGCGCACGCGCACGCGCACGCGCACGCGCACGCGCACGCGCACGCGCACGCGCACGCACACGCACACGCACACGCAC